GTGCTCTCCTAATTCACTTCTAGTAGTGATATATCAGAGACCTATAAAATGGTCTCCTTGGTATGTTTGTCTCTAATCAGGCAGTAACAAAGAATTCGCAATCAATTGATTCACCCAGTCTTTGCACTGCTAAACCAAAGTAAATGGAATTTTTCTTTAGTTAAAAAATTACAGCCAAGGAGTAAGGGAGGGGGAAAGGCTTATAGGCCTTTCTTAGTGTGTCTGCCACCCTTCTAGTCAAATAATTAATGAAGCAGTCGTTTTGTCAAGTGTTTTTCCTGATGACGTGAAAGACTATGTTGCAGACAGAAATAAGGGCCCAGTCACCAATTTGTACAAAGTATTTTTATGAATGATGGTCTGTAGACTGAGTTTTTCAGTGCTTGTCGCTTTCTAGTAGCACAGCAGTCGGGACTTCCAAAACAGAGTTTCTAATTAACATCATGAAAACAAGTATGAAAGCTGGCAATGGAGACTAGAAATTCTTCACAGCATCCCACTGCAGGGACTGGGACCAGTGAATGCAAGTTGATGGGAACCTTCAGCCTCTTGACTATAATGAGCTTGGTGCTGTTTTCACACCATAAGCAGAGAATGCCTCCTCGAGCCTCCCATCCTGCAGCACAAACAAAGCAACAGAGGAATTAAACATGCAAAAGAAAATTCCTTTTGCTATAGTAAATCTTGCAGCATTCACACAACTGGACATGGGAAAAGTGGACTAAGGAAGCAGACGTGAACAAGAAATCTTACTTTTTTGTAGATAATGTGACAGGTGGCTACTGCCCAGAGCACTGAATGAGGGAAGGTGTTAGTTTGTGTCACATCCCTGAGTGCACCAACAGTGCACCTACACACTCTGTAGGGGTTTGGCTCTCTGTGCTGAGGGCCAGCTCTGGTACAGTACAGCTCTTCAGCCTTGGAGCAGACTTGTGTGAGAAAGAGCTATGATTAGAAATACATGTAAGAAGACTTGGGGCTTCACCCACTCTGGGAGTTGCTTTTAAGTTCAGGTCCTTGCCCTTGGTCCTTGCTGAGCTTTCTATATAGGCATGTGCCAACTGGTGTATCTCCCTCCCTGCTCCTGACCCACTGATACGACTTCTAGGCTTGATCTTACCACCTGCCTGGCGATCTGGACTTTTGTTTGACCATGGTTACTGTCACTGGACCTGCTTTGCTCTTCTCTCTTGAATCCTGTGGGAACACGGCACGTTTTAGTGAGGCCACTGTCTCTGTTTGCCTTGTCGTCACCCTTGGCTCTCAGTTTGCCTTTCCTCTTGGAGCAGCACCTGCACTTGCTGTTCCCTGACACCTAAGATCCAGGACAAAGAAGAATGTCACTTGCAGTAATCTTGGTGCAAGATGGCCTGAGTCTGTCAGTTGTGGAAACTGGCTCTGGATGTAAGAGGTTTAATGCATCCTTCTTACCTAGTCCTCAGTCATGTTAAGTTCCCGGCCCCAAACCATTTAGTATTAAACTGAATTCTTTTTATGACAAACCAGAATCACAGAAGAACTGCCTGGATTTCATTAAATGGATTGGACTGGCAGACACTTATCACTGAAGGTGCTGCTCAGGAAAGGAGCTTACATACTGGACACTTGATCATCCTCACTGCTGAATTATTAGCTCCTTTTCTGCCTCTGGTTTGGAGCACTCCAGAGAGCTCTGTTATCTGAGACAAGGCTTCTGTGAAGGGTAAGGAGACAGGTGTGAGCTCATCTGTGCTGTTGTGTGCTGGTGCCAGGGTTCAAATATATTGTGAAATGCATAAATATTGTTTGCTGATTCCCTAGTAGGGACTCTCAGAAGGTTTATAAGCATCACTTAAATAAATGCATCACATTGTGTATCTTCAGGTGAAATCTTCCTGACTTCTTGCAGAGTGTGTTAGCATGGTCAAAAGTCACTGTAACACAGAAATCATAAAATTGCGAAGGGGAGGTCTGCAAGAGAATTTCAGTGGGGCAAGGCAGAGTCTGGAAATGTCCTGTGCATTTTTTAACTGGAATTTGTGATATTTACTTAAGACATTTTTTGCTGTTTGCTTTGGGTCAAATTAAAATTCACAGATCTTCATGTATATCTGCTGTGATAGTTAAGGCTTTCTGAAAGTCTTTATACAGTCACCATCCACACTGGAAATCCATAGCATAGACTTCATCTCCATCTTCTCTGGATCCAAGATATTCACTGCACTTCCTCATTTTTCCTTACCTTTACTCTATGGGATTGGCCATAGTACCAGGCCCACAGTTCCTGCTGCAGCTACCTGAATTTCTGCTCTTTTGAGCCTAACTTTGTGCATGTCCATCACGTAATCAGAGGCAAGTCTGTGAGGGGAAACAATTTTCCTGCAGTGAAGATAAAGCAGCCTAATGTGCCTTGTTTTGGTGTAGTTTGTAAAGTAATGCACAGATGAGAATTGGACCATAATGTTGGGATTAATCCTAAACATCAGTGTTCACATACCATTAAAAGTTTCAGCCTTTAATACTTACTGTTGTTGTATGTTGGATATTCTTACCTCATTAATATAGTTAAGAACTGATGGGTTATGTTTGTCCCAACTTCCAAAGGTAATTGAAGAATTCTGAGGGCTACTGAAAAAGAGCTTTTCACAACTGTTTTGATCAAATTTGTCTAGTTTTTTATTTCTGGGAAAGGGTTAGCAGTCTTAACATGGAAATCTTCTGAATACATCAGTCCACATCTGTAGTTTATCAAGATATCTGCTTAAACCTTAAGGAATAAATAGTTACCTTTGTAAATAATCTGCATTTTTAAATTTAAAGTAATGAATTCTGGGTACATTAATTTAAAATGTATTGTAAGTTTAGGGTAAGGAAGTAGACAAGTCTCTTTGTAGTGTTAGGTGACAGAGCAGAGGACAGGGAGGATACAAAACCAAACTGGAATAGGCAGCTCAGTACTGAAGCTGAGGCCACAGCTGGAAAGGTACATTTATTTCAATCTTCAGATACACTGGAATACTGCTAAATTAATACATTTATTGTAGATTTTGTATTTCATATACATTATTCTGTATGGCTTCAAAGGAATGTGTCATAGTCCCCTTGGCATTTTTCAATTCACCATTTTAATGTGAATGACCTTTGGAAGCATTATTTTCTTCTCCTGAGGTCTTTTCAAAAGGATAAAAACAGGCAAAGTAGCATTAGTGCAGTGTTCTTGCTGAACTACAGAGCTTAGTAGACTTTCAGAAATTCAAAGTTAATGAATTAAAACTCAGAAATAATTCTGAGTTAGGTGAAATTATCAATGGGGAAGTACAGGACGTGTTTTTCCAAGACCACAGAGTAGTGCAGTGGTGTCAGTAAAAGGTCTGTGATCCGTCTCTGGGTTTAAACTACAAACCAATTCTCCTTTTTACTATGCTACACTGTTTGGCTAATGCAAGGCTTATACAGAATCCTTTGATTAAAACCTCATGACTTTTAAGCAAATGTGTTACACAGTATGCAAACCAGAAATGTAGATAGGTAATCATTTTTTAAATTCAGAATCACTAACAGTGGAAACTATGTCTTGAAAATCGGTGATGACTCCTAGCTTTTGCACATCTTCACAGGGAAGAATGCACTCTAGCGTATAAGGGACTGAAACACTTCACACCCTAGCGTTTCAAATCTCCCCAAATGCTTTTTAAGTGTGCTATTGCACTGCCCCCTGTGGTGTCTGGGCTGGTTGGGTCTCTGGAGAGAAAGGAAGAATCCAAAGGAAGGGGCAGAGAAACTAAAAGAGTGATTTAATTTTTTTTTTGGGGGGGGGGGGTGTGGTTTTGGTTTTTTTTTTTGTCTAGGAGCAGATTTAGCTGCTGCTGATCCGATTGAGCAGAGAGCAGTTAATGCTCTAGGGTACATAAAGGCAGGAAGCGCCTTCACTGAGAGAGAAAAGAAAAAACTCTTTAAGAGGAAGGTCTTCTGAGAAACGACATTATGGAACTAAAATAGAGCAACTAGAGGAAGGAAGTCCATGTCCTATATATACAGAAAGGGAGGGGATTCTTCTCCATAGTAACAGGGGAGAAGGAAAAGGACAACACAAACTGCAAAAGGTGTTTTAAATTGTATAGAAAAGAGAGATTTGGGGTTTGCTTTTATTCCCTGCTTGCAGGGACTGTGGTTTTGGTGTGAGACAAAATCCCTTAAAAATGTTTGTTTAAGATAATAAAATGAGGATTCATTATTTCTGGACAATTATAAAGCTTGTACTTTACTATTTGTACTTTATATTCTAAACGTCTTACTACAAAACTTGAAGCTTGGTTGATAAAATAAAGTTTCAGTTCTGTGATTTACACCATACATATGTTACTGCTGTGTATTTGTATTATTACTATATAGTTACAAAATGTTTTAGCACTGGAATACAACAGATTTTGCAGTGGTATTTAATACACAGAAGTTAGGTGAGGTGGTCTGTGTGTCTATAACAGTCGCGTTGGCGTCACAGGAATAATCACTTGCATGGAAATCACAGGTATCCTGAAGGTTAAGCTTGTTTCTGAGTTTCCTGATGTGCTTTTGCTGATGCACTGAGAATCCATTTTTGCTTTCTTCCCCCCCCCCCTTATTTCTTGCACTCTTTTTCCCTGGTTAACTCCAGCAGCAGTCTTGCAAAGCACTTACTGGACCTGCTGTTGCATCTCTTGCCAGGCAAATCCCTATCAGTAAAGAGAGGGGTCCTTCAGCCTCAGAAATCTAGCGCTGTAGTAAACCAAATCTTTCACAATGGGTGTGAAACATCCTTTTTTCTTTCTGTTAGCACTTTACTTAATTTACGGTGATGATTTCTAATAACTAGTAAAGCAGTAAGCAGTCGAAAATTTTACTTCATGAGAGACTGCAGCAGTTTTTGTTGTTTAAAATATTTTACTCATACATTTGCATTTCATATTATGTGGGATGCATGACCTTTTTGTTTAAAAATGTCTGTTCTTTTTGCAAAGACTGACAGCAGTGTCTGATTTCAGGGTGGGATGATTAACTGGAATAGACTGTTTCCTCCTTTACGTCATAGACATAATGCGAATTATCAAGATCATCGCCCGTCTGAACAAGACACGCCTCCACCTACAGAGGTTTCTGAAGAGCAGGTAAACATTTTTCTATTTCAAAATCGCATTTAAAAACTGGTTAGGAATTACTTCTAATTTTTTATTATATGTTGACACAGTTCCTTAAATATTCTCTATAGCGGCACAAAGTAGAGTATCAGATAACAGTCACAGTGCAGAGACAGCAAATTGTTACTGCCATTCAAACCAGACTTAAAGATAACTCGGGAGTTTCTGCTTTTACTTGGGAGTTCCTGCTTTTATGTGTAGCTGTTCGTCTTTTGCATTTAAAGATGAGACAGTTTCACTAGTGGGGGCTACTCAAATCTGATAAAATAAGTGTTTCAGAGAAGGAAGAATGACAAATAGATATCATTATTTGTCCTGTAGACATGCACGTTTTCCTTCACTGAGGTCTCCAGCTTAAGTTTCCAATTCAGTCATGTAGTTTTTTGGAAATAATATTAATGCCAGCTGTGGACTGCAACGCACACTTGGTCTAGAACTTGGATGTTTCCCTCAGTAATGTGGTTGACTGATTTCACATACTAATGCCACAGAGAAGTTTGTATCTTTTCTGTCATGTATAGATTTAGACTTTTAGGTTTTTTAGTTGATAGTTTTATTCTCAAAAGAGAGGATGATTTACTAGGGAATTTAAGAATTTAAGATTAGTCATTTCTATATTCAGCATTTATTGCATGCAATCAGGTTTCCCAGGTTGCAGCCTTTCTACAGTTAGCAGCACTGGCCTTTTTATAGTCTAGAATCTCTGCTACCCTTGAACAAGAGTAGGTTTCAAGGGTGAATTTTTCTTTCCCTTTTTCCTTTGTTTTAGGGAGATAAATCAACACTTGCTAGGACCATGCTGTCATTTCTAGTTAGTTTAAAATGAGCTTGTCCCAAACAGAAATCTCTGCTGTGTTCTGATTTCTAGTTTTGATTCAGTGTAAGATTATGTTCAAAATGTTCAAAACTTTAACTACACTGGTGGTTTTGACTGCAAACGTGCATCCAAAAAAACAAACAAAAAGAGGAAAAGAAAAATAAAAAACCCTCACCAAAGAATACCTTCCGAGACAAAACCCAGAAACTTAGATTTGTCCAGCCTGAAATCCTACTCAGTGCCAGGTATGAGGTGGACCAAAAGATTTCCATGCTGGCTTGGTTTGTTTCTTTGTTTTATTGACAAATTCTGCTTATGGGAATTTTTATTGTTGGGCTGGAACTAATGAAATAGTTATTAGTCTGACTTATGCTGGATTCTTTCCCAAAGCCTTTAGGCCCAGATTTATGAAAGCAGTATACACTTATATTTTCTCATGCATTGAAGTTGTAGAGCTCACCGAATTGCTGTCATTTGCAATTCTGTCTAGTTATCCTGCAAAGAAAAAGGTAATCTAAGCACCTTTGATTTTTCAGGACTGTACTAGTAACTGCACAAGTTGTCTTAAAATGTCAGAAGTGCAAGGTTTTCTTCTGTTTTTCAGATTTAAAATGGCAAGCGTTTGCAATGTTTTTGGTACAAAAATCTCTGCATTTCTTGTGGGTCTTTTAGCACCTTAAATTACCATTACCAGTATACACCTCTGTTTCCTGGAGCTGGATTCAGTTCCTGTGGTTAAAATATAATCAGATGAAAAGAACTTTTTGTTGTTACAATCTGTTCCCTGTGTTGCTCACTGAATATTTCTGTGAATGGGAACATTACAATTCCAGCCACCACTTCTTAAGGTTAGAATTCATGGCAGCTGCAGCAAAAACTTTTGTTCTGAAATGTATTTCTGTGGTTAGCTTTATTCTACTGCCTGCCCTTTTTCTCATAAAAAACACAATCTTATATGAAAAATCAGACACAGGAAACTTTAGAAAGTTACGGGCTATGAAATCCACTTTGAAGTTACACTATTGTTGCAGAGGTGTCGGAAGTAACAATTCATTTCTCTACCTACAAGAAGGTGAGAAACTGCCACTGGGTTGTAAGAGGGGGAAAAGGGGGAAAGGCACAAAAATTATCAGTACCGTATTTGATATTCTGACAAACAAAGTGGCCATTTTCACATGTTTTGTAACTGGGTTTAGATTAAGAAAAGGAGGACCTCACTTCCAGGCATACTTGGCAGTAGTAGATTTCTCAGTAAGCTGCCAAAGCAGAGAAGATGAAAAATACTGAAGAGTTCTGGAGGTGTCTTAGAGGACAGGGAAGTTGCTTTTAATGGCACCTTTCTTATAAACGGCATTTAAAGTGCTTTCAATCTGAGGGCACATTGCTCTTGCACCCTGGGGAGATTCCTCCAGAGATGGAAATGGCCTCTGCTGTGTTCATGCACAGCTTCATTCTGCTGCTGCAGGCTCCGGACAGGCAGAGGTGGAGTAATGGTAGTTCTCTCACAGCTCCTGCAGCCCAGGACTTCCAGGTTCAGGAGCTGTGGTGGCTGGTCACAAACGCCATTTGGAGCAAGATGGGGAATGCTTTATGCTGCCAGTGGCCACAGTTAATTTTATGTGCCACTTCCTTCACCACCACACCTTGTTTTTTCCCCTCTCTGGAAGATTAATTATAAAAGTGAATGAGTTCTATTGTTACTTTCAGTTATGCCTAATTGAGAACTGTAGATTTTAAATGTGCTTTAAATTGGAATTTAACCATAAATTAAATTTGGTTATAAATACATTGATTTTTACATGTGGCAGTTTAAATATCTGTTAGCACAGAGCAAAAACATTAGGTGCTGAGTACATGATATTATAAAAAGGGATGGTCAAGTGGTTATTGATTCCCAAAATTACTGTCTTAATGTGCCCTTTTCCAGGTAATTCTTCCATCAAATGTGATTGATTTATGCTGTTCTGAGAATATGTAGAATCTTTCCAGGGATTTTACTGAACCCATTTAAGTATGGTGCTGCGTCTGTTTTAGGGTGAACTTCCAGGTTTATTTTAAAAACCACCTCAAATTAATAGGTTTGAGTTTTTTAATGCCCTCTGGAGAAGTAGATCTTTTCAAGGAAAGTAAAGCTAAGAATGTCTGGACAGGTTTTTGCATCTGCTGTAATATTCCTTATTTGGGTCAGCGTTGGGTTCATGAGCTCCTGTTCTTGTCAAGAGCCGCAAGCCCCAAGTTGTGATGTGTGGTGCCATACTTTCTGTTTTACTCTTCTTTCAAAACTGGACCAGCTAGGGAAATACAGGTGTGGCATTTTCAGCAACGGTTGATTTTGAAAGCAGTCATCTCTGTGGCAGTGTTTTCAGTCATGCAGTCCTAGATACGTCTTTGTGACAGTGCATAGCCATGCTTGCTCACTCTCTGGAAAGGTAAGCTTTTGGACAGCCTGATCAGTGGAAAAGTGATCTCCTTCACTATTAACATGACTAATGCGCACACACTGTGAATAAAACTCTAGTTTTAAAGTGGTGTTATGTATTTCTTTTCCAGGTTGCACGACTTATGGAAATGGGATTTTCCAGGGGAGATGCTCTAGAAGCTCTGAGAGCTTCAAATAATGACTTAAATGTAGCCACTAATTTTCTACTGCAGCACTGATGGTTTTCTGTGTGAAGGAACTTCACTTGATGGGTTTGTACACGTCTGAAAGAGGATCAAAGCCACCTGCTGGACAGACTCACGAAGGTCGTCCCCACAAGAGCGTCAGAAAAGAGAAACTGGCTCCGTGTGACTGGTGATTCGAAATGATGTTAACAAATGAGGTGAACTGTTCCCAAGCCTTCAGATCACTTGGCTGTTTCTAGTCTGGTTATCCTTTTCAAAGTAACTTTAGTTTCTACTTATTACTGGATATCACCTAAATTTATTTTTTAAATAAAGTAGGTGATTTTTTTTTCTTGTAAATCCTTGTTAGACGTGTTATCAGACTTAATGACTAGGAATAGAAGCTCCATCAACGTCAACAACTAGATTTACCTATCAAGAAAAATCATATTTTCTTCACTTACCAGTTGTAATTTATCTAGCTTATGTGTTATTTTACGGTACTTGGGTTTTGATTACAGTAATAAGAGGTTTGAAGATTGCTTCATTTTCAACTCAGCAAAGGGTTATGGGACTATTATGTCATTCTTTGGAAAGTTTTATTAATGCCTGTAATGTTTTATTTCTTGAATATCTTTTTAAATAAAAGTTGTCATTCAGCACATGATACACGGATAGGATGAGGGAAGACTCACGTGCGTAGTGCTCACTGTAAATTTAAATTTTTACAAAGTGAGTGAATCACTATTCTGATATAGGTCATAAAGATACTCACTGGAAGCAATAAAGTTGAATTGAGTGATGCAGTAAGATCAGAACTGAAATTATTTTAATTAATTCCATGTCTAATTCAGACAGACTTCTGTAACAATGGATGTATGCTCAGTGTCCTATATGCTGGTTTCATTTTTTGAGCTGGCTACATACTGTCTTAAAAAAAAAAAAAAGATAACTTTTCTATACATAGTTCTAGTTTTCTACCGTCAAAGATGTGGATGACCCTGCATTTGCTGAATCCTCACTGTCTGAAGCAACTTCCTGTTGATCACAGACTGGAATATTAAGCTTAAGGGTGGTTCAGGATAACAGAGGAGGTAACAGGACAGTAATGCCAAGGTAGTACAATATTGAGTTTGAAGTTTAGATTGATAAATAATCTTGCTTGGCTTGACTCCCAGAAGTGCTCAGTATTGGCACCTTAGGAGTTTCAGGAAGTGGGGTGGAGAGCAGTGAACATCTCGATAAAACCGAGCTGAAGTAATACAAGATTCCAAAATGCAATTCCGTGTAACCAATCTACACGTGTATCTTAAGCATTTATTGTATGTTTCTGTATGTACTTGTGTTTGTATATCATGAGTATATGTGTCTATTTATATACACACAGGCATATTTAATACATAAATACATCTAGAATAAGATACAGGTCATCAGAAGTGAAACAAAGGCAATAGCAGGTGCAAAGGGAAGGAGATAAAAGAATACAGGAGAGAGAAGGATGTTTTTGGAAATCCAAATCAGCATGTGCATACCAAAGTACAGATCTACGCAGTCTCACCTGACCTGAAAAATATACTGGGAAATGACAGGACAAGATTTAGGGAGAGAGAGGTATCTTTCTTTTTCTCTTTTGATTGACGGATAAAAGTCCTTCAGGCATACAAGTCCTTATCCAGAAATTACATCAAATTTGTGCAGTGTTTGGCACATGACATAATTTTAATAAAGTCGATGTCCTGTATGTATTTTTTAGTATTTTCCAGTAGTTGAAAGAAGGGGGTTTTGGAATGACCGTGTGTTTTCCTGGGCTTTGATCAACCTCCTTCAGAGTTCGGCTTGGTGGTATGATCACATTATTTAGGCAGGGTCTGCTTTTTAATTGAAAGGTTTTGTTTGTGTGAAGCTGAGTGGCGCTCTGTGTGTGTAGGCTAGGGACATTTCTTCACCCAGAGAACTCTGGAGACCTGTCTTAGAAAGCAAAGGGCAAATATAAGAAAAAAAGCCCTACAGTAATTTGCATATGAAAACTAGTTAAATGTTTTGAAACAAGTACAGGTTTTAATTTTGAAACATACAGATTCTTTCTTCACAAATATTTGATCAAAAGTAGCAATAAAGACTAGTGAATTACTTTAGAAGTCAAGTTTTGTCTGTAGGAGATTGTCCACCTAGCCCAGGGTAAATTAAATACGACCTGTGCCCCTTCATTGCCCTGCTCTAGGGACATGCACAGAGAGCATTTATTCCTTGGAATTTTAAAACCTGTTGAGTAGCATCTGGGACATCTAAGTGGATCTTCTCAAAGTCTAAATCCTTTCTTTTTATGACCTGTACAAGGGGTATCCAGATGTCACAGTTGTGTGGAAAATCCCGTTTTGCTGGGAATTTCGCAAAATGTTGTCAAACATAAGGGGTAGAATTCAGGTCTTGGTGATGTCACTTGAAAACTCCCCTTGACGTCTGTGGGAACAGTTTGTGCTCAAAATACTCCCAGGGTTGTGATTTCCAATTTAAAAAAAAAAAAGAAGTGGTAAAAGGAGGGCTCTCCAGTGCAGCTGAATATAGTTCCTGTTTCATGCAAGAACCATAGAAGAAAGATTTACACATTAGAGACAGAAAACAAGTTGTTTTCCATTTGATGGTGAAACTTTCATGGACCATTTCTGGGAATGCAAGGAGCATGTTCTTCACAGCCTACACAGTGTTTGTCCAATACCATTTTGAATATCTCATCGCCCAGTTTCTAGTTTGTGGGTGACCCAATGATATTTTTTAAGCGGCGAGAGAATGCAAAATGCTTTTCTACGGAGAGGATTTTAAGTCCCTAGGAAATTCATGGTGGTTTTCGTAAAGCCAAGATTTGGTATTTTGAAATAAAAGTAGTTGCTGCTGTTAAAATTTCTCTACTAGACTGGGAATGTTGTCTTTTGAAACAACATCAGAATAATTTATTGGGGACTTTCCTAGACAGTTATGTGATACTTTGAAATATACCCACTGTGTGGTTTCTGTTTGTGGAAATCTGCCTGATAAGCCACCAGGTTCTCAAGCCTTAACTTTTTGCTAAGATGCAGAATGATTGGGCTCTGTACCTACCAAACCCATTTTCCTCTCCCAAAACAAGTGTTAAAGGTTGCCTGCTACTTACATGAGCACACGTACTGTTGCAGTTGGTTCATGTAAACCTGTGCTGTCTAGCACTTGTAGGTGCCTTTGTGAACATACGATGGAGAAGTCTTGTTACTTTTGTCTGAAAATGAAGAACAAGCAAGCAAAATATATTGCATATTGTACTGGGCAAAGGGCAACATTTTTGGCTCTCCTGTTTGTGTGTGTGTATATATATATGTATATGTATATGCATATATATGTGTGTATGCATATGTATATATACAGAGAGTGAGTGAGAATATTTATGTATTTGTTTGATGAATTTAACTGGAACTAAGAGTTTGTTGAAGAAAATTAAAAGTCTGTATTCAAAGACTCCCATCTCAAACGTGTGTATTTGGAGTACATATACAGTTGCAAAGGCACCCAAATTTGAAAACACTCCGAACTACAAGTCTCATGTTGTAGAGGAGCTGCATCTGAGGAGAAAAAAATGCACAGTATTCATTTGAACTAACACAGTTTTTTGATATACGTGCAATTAGTTTCTTGTGTGTCTTCTTCCACAAGAAAAACCTGTGAGTTTAGCTCCCTTTAATTCAATAGCCATAGTAATAAGTATTTCATGTAAATATGTATAAATACTATTTTTTTAGGAGAGTCACATGAACACACAAACACTACATGTGTTTATATATATATGCACACATAATGCATATTTTCAAATATGTATATATGTGTTTACATAAAACACACCGGGTTTGTTTTTATTTTTAGTAGGATTACATTCCTTCTGTTTCCATATATAAAGGAATTCTTTGACCACAGAAAGTCCACTTTGAAACTCAAAGAGTGTACATGCTACCAATAGTTTTCAGTCCAAATATAAGACAAGGAACAGATGATGGGAGCAGAGGCACAGTACGACCTGATGAACAGGTACATCTGGTAAGAATCTCAACAAATTGGTAGTTTAGCTCTTGCCATTTGATTTTTGCCAAAGCAGAGTTTTAAGAGGAAACAAGAAGTTAGCTGGGCTCACACATGTAGGGGAGTTTCTAAACCTGTATGGTAGCACTGGAAAAAGCAGGAATATATGAACTTTAAAAACGGATAAAAAATTCTAGGATCATAGCTGAACCAAAAGCAGGATTTGGCCTTTTGAACAGAGATAAGTAGGGACCATACGTGTCATTTAAGATTAGTAAAGGAGAGGACTTGAGGGAGATGAGGAGGTGAAACTGAGCAAAACCTGGGACTTTATAGAGAAAAGGGCCAAAGTAGAAAATAGGCTGCAGAGGACAGAAAGAAAAGATCTGCTGAAAAGAAAGGTGATGGGATGTCACATTGCGCTTAGCTCACTTTTGAAAGAATTCACATATATTCTGTGTGGAAAATGCAAATATACAATATTGTGGCTAATCTTGTAGTGAAAATCCACCCTTTTTTCAGGGGTGTCCGATAGAGGAATCCTTTTGTTTTCTTTATTGGTTTTGCATGAGATGGTGCATGTAGCAAGAGAGAAAACAGTGTGATCCCAGCAACACAGCAGCAAAACAAACCCTGGAGTTGCAGGAGAGCTGAGCACGCACACGACCAATGTGATCAAGCAATGCCCGTTTATTACAACTAAGAAAGCCCTTTTATAATGTTCTCCCGCACATGTGAGTAACATGCAGTACAAGACCTCAGGATTGGACAGTTAACTTAGCCCGCGCTTTAAACCTTCTTATGATTGGATAAAAGGTGCCACATCAGCCTTGCCAGGCTTCCCGCCTTGTGTAACTTCCTCTTCCTCTCAACTCCTTCTGGGGGTTGTTTGTCTCGTCGAGTTTCTCCCCCCTCATTCAGGGTCACATCCTTATCACATTCTTGCTTGGCTGAGGCTCTTATCAGTCTTGCTCTCACGCAGGATTGCTCACATGGCCATTCTCTCACAGAAAGTCCTCTTGAATCCCAACATGGAGTCACTGCGGTATGGGAGAAGACCGATGTTTCTGGGTTTCTAAGCACAGTTAGTCCTGACAACCCAGCTCTTCCAGCACCTCATCCCAACTGCAGAGACACCTGCTCCAGAAAGGCCGCAGCTTCTCCCAGGTCCTACTGTTCTTCCCATCAAAGGTTTTTTTATAAATCCCCACGCCAGGAGAGCACACACTACCTTCCTGGGGATACAAGTGTTCTGCATAAAGGAGGTGGATCAAGAGCTTGGGCTTGCCCCTCACCACTTGAGCGTTTGCTTTGCCTGCAGAAGGGAGAGGCACCTCTGAGAGGAAAACAGTTGCCCACGTCCCCTGGCCCAAGCAATCACAGAGGGGCTTGTTACTTGGCCATGAGAAGCTTTTATTTTAATTAGATATGTGCATTTTTACATGACAATATTTTACTGACTTACAAAGATGGATGTCACAACATGCCATAGCTTCAGTTCAGGACAATTGAAAGCACAGGCTGAAGAGGTGTGTTGTACAGCACAGGGAGGTTACTAACAGGTGATGTGTAACTGCAACCAAGAGCTGTTGTTCCCCAGTGCTCTCCTGGAAATCTACGCTTTTAGCTGAAAGCATAAACTTGGGAACCACTGCTAAGGGAAAAAGGCAGTGCTGTTCGAGCTCCCTGTGCTTCTTTGCCATCAAGCTACAGCTCATCAGACAGGCAGGTCATCTGCAGAGACCCTGTCTGCTTTCTGCACTCTGTTCAATTCCATGACCCTTCTGCAGAAGCTCAGGAGAAACCTAAAATCCACTGTTAGAGGGCTTTGGCTCACGAGGGCCTTTGAGCTACAAGGGTCACAACCTGAGTTTGCCAAGAAAATCTCTGGTTGCACCATGTACGTATAGAGTCGGTAGGACTGTGCACAGGGCTGGTAGTGTGACTGCACAAAGCGTCCTCACTGTCCTCAGGAAGAAATACAATTTTCCTTTCTTAGCAGACAGCATGGCAACAGGTTGCAGCCTGGGCTGAAGCAAGAAGCACCTGCAGACGGTGCAGTAGTGCCTCCCCACATGGAAAGCCACCGGGGAGGCCAGTGTTTGCCCTGCGCTTCACAACCATCCTACTTACTGCATGCGCCACGTCCCTGCGTGGCAGGAGACGCGTGGGGGGTGAGCACCAGACGCATGTTTTTGTTTGTTTGATTTCAGACTCGCGGGCGTATTTTTAACCCCAAGTAAAGGTTTCAACTCCCTCTTTCGGCGGGACCCGGCGTTGCCCCTCTCCTCACCGCGGAGGCTGC